TCGCCATTAGCAATGTCCTCTACCAAAGTGGTACATTTGTTACAGTTGATGAGCCTACATTGACACATTATAATCACCCAAAGTCCATAGTTAACATTATTGTTCACTCCTGATGTACATTCTATGGGTTTGGACAAATGTACGATAACATGTATCCATCATTATTGTATGGTATATCCTCTGTGCTACACTTACCATCCCTCCCTGCCCCCACCCTCAACCACTGGCAACCACTCATATTTTTATTGTCTCCACAGTTTTGCCTTTTCCAGAATATTACATAGTCGGAATCATACACTACGTAGGCTTGTCAGATTGGCTTCTTTCACTTAGTAATTTGCATTTAAGTTTCCTCCATGTTTTTTCATGGTTTGATAGATCCTTTCTTTTTAGCACTGATTAACATTCCATTGTCTGGATGTACCATAGTTTATTTATCCAACTACCTACAGATATCTTGGCTGCTTCCAAGTTTTGGAAATTATGAATAAAGCTGCTATAGACATTCGTGTGCGCATATCAACTCCTCTACATAAATACAAAGGAGCAACATTGATGGATCATATGGTAAAAGTATGTTTTGTAAGAAACTGCCAAACTATCTTCCAAAGAGGCTGTACTATTTTGCTTTCCCACAGCAATGAATGTGAGTTCCTGATGCTCTGCACCCTTGCCAGGATTTGGTGTTGTCAGCATTCCAGATTTGGGCCATGCTAATAGGTGTGTAGTGATGTTTCACTGCTATTTTAAGTTGCATTTTTCCTAATGACATATGATGTGGAGCATCTTTTGATACCCTTATTGCCATCTGTACATCATCTTTGGTGAGGTGTTTGTTCAAGTCTTTGGGCCATTTTTAAGTAGGACTATTTGTTTTCTTACTATTGAGTTTTAAGAGTTTTTGTGTATTTTGGATGATGGTCCTTTATCAGATGTATCTTTTGCAAATATTTTCTCCCAGTCAGTGGCTTTTCTACTCATTCTCTTGACAGTGTCTTTTGCAGAGCAGAGATTTTTTAATTTTAATGAAGTCCAGCTTATCAATTATTTCTTTCATGGATTGTGCCTATGGCGTTGTATCTAAAAAATCATCACCATATCCAAAGCTAAACAGGTTTTCTCCTATGTTATCGTCTAGGAGTTTCATAGTTTTGCATTTTACATTTAGGTCTATGACCCATTTTGGTTTAATTTTGTGAAGAGTGTAAAGTCTGTATCTAGATTCATTTCTTTGCATGTAGATGTCTAGTTGTTCCAGCACCATTTGGTGAAAAGATTATCTTTGCTCCATTGTGCTACCTGTGCTACTTTGTCAAAGATCAGTTACATGCATATAATTTCCTTTTGAAGCATAGAAGTACAGCTGGTAGACCCAAATATAAGACTATCACCAAGCTGCTAGCCCAGTGCCTATCAGGCCTATATTACCTGGTATCACCTCCACTTTGGGGTTAACTGGGACTGTATGTAGCTAAGGGGGGAAAAAGTTAAACATCCAGTTTCAGAATAAAGCTCTCTGACATTAAGTGCAGAATATTTCAGATACCTATTTCATATTACAGCACATACTCTGATATGTAGTCAGGTCTCCTTCAGAACGGAGGCTAGGGGTGCTGCCTAGAGAAAGTTCTCAGATGACAGTGCCCTCTGGGGCCTCGGGCTGAACCGAGACACTTTGTCCAAGCTCACAGCCACTTTCCTGGGCAGCCTGCACCCAATGACTGAACAACGTGTGAATATAAAGGCCCAGCTCCTTGGTCCCAACCAGGGACAGCTCTGAGGGATCATCTCAGCTTCTGAATGTGTGAGGCTTTCATTGGAAATGACTGAATCCCAGCTTACTGTCTCCTTCTGCCAAACTTTCCTCCACAGCTTCCCTTCTACATGTTGACCCCAAGAGCACCCCCTGATAAACCTCCTGAATGTCAATCTTTGTGTCAGAGTCTGCTCCCTGGAGAACACAACCTGCCAGAATTACTTAATTGAAGGCCTCATTGAAGGCCTATCTTATCAACAGGTAAGGATGGAGGTTATAGGGCTAAAACTCAGGGTTCTGGAACTTTTGTGATACAAGGTGCAAGAATGACCAAAAATGACCCTAAATTCTCACTGTCTGAACAGTGGTCCCCACCCCTTTCTCCCTGTGGGAGGGGTTATTTTACTTATATGGAGGGAGCCCAGGGCCCCAAGTTCTCCAGTGGTTGAGCAGTAGGTAATCCTAGACAACTCCTATAAATACTCCAAACCCCAAATCAGATGGGCTAGTACAAAAGCGGTCTCATTATTCCTCCTGACAAGACTACTTTCTTACATCTACCCTACAAAAGGCAGGACGGCGAGAGAGCAAGTTCCCTTCACAGGAATATAGGACCTCCCTCTCCCGCAATCTCTCGCGTGTCTAGCAGGACATCCTGACCTCCTCGGGTCTTCTGAGGGTGCACAGGAGAGGAGGTGGCTTCTTGTCTCTCACTGACACTGGCTTTATATAGTCTCTTTCCCTTTCTCCACCAGTTGAAGCCTTCAGTGCTGGTGGGGTTGTGGAATTTATCTTGAATCTTCATGACTGACAAATGGAGCCCTGGATGGGACTCCCCTTGTATAATGGTGTGACGACAAAGGCATAAATTCTTTTTAATAACACTTATGACTTTTTTGAAATGTCAAAAGTGGTCAGTGGCTACACGAGGGATGGAAACAATGCCTGCAATGAAGAAAGGTCACTGAGAGAGCTAATGGACGGGTGACCACGGTGTCTGAATGTCCCCAAAGCCCCAGACAGGAGAGCCTGCTATGAGATGTTGCCAGTGGCTGGTCAGAGCTGACTAGTCACTGTTGGGCAAGAACAAAACTATCTACAGTGACCCTGAGCGCTTTGTCACAGTTGCCAAGACAACAAGCTAAACGGCACAGGGAGTCGTATCCTGGATAGAGGAGCTGCGCCCATTGGTGTCCTTCTGGTGGGAGGGACTGAACCTTTCTAAGTGTTTCCAGGTCTTCAGGGCTTAGGTAGGCGGAGTCCACAGAAAAGCTGCCTCCCCGTCCAGATAGCCTGACTCCAGGATGGCCTGATGCTTCGCCACAGTCAGGGGAGTTTACCTTCCTTTATAAAAGGGGAGAGTAGGAAACGGGTCCAGGCCACTGTTCTCTGAGCTGATGGAAACATATACCTTTTCTCCACTCAGACCCTGGCCTCATGTATCTCCCTTTCTCTCAGTAGAGGCCGCTCCTTAACCAGAACTATAAGACATTGCAGAATTCATTCCAGATCCTCGTACATGACAAGTGAAAGCCCAGATGGGACCCACCTTGCCCCACAAAAGGTCATCTAGTATTCCTTGTAAAAATAGCTTATAACTTTACATTTTAAAACACATTCACATGCATTAACTCAGGAAGACCCACATCAGCCTGGTGAAATTGGCAAGGGACATGTTACATAATCCACACATTTTCGGAAAGAAAAACTGGAACACAATGTAGGATAAAGGACATTTTTCCTTTTTGATTTATGAAAAAAATATTATAAACACATTGAACTTGAATTGCAGCTGCTTATACATGTAATGAAGTCTCTTTTTTAAAAAAGAGAAAATTAAATGAACTTGTGCTAGCACAGAAAATCCTGGAAATATGGTCAGCATAGTTAGAGGCATGAAATAAACCTTTCAGCTTATGTTAAAACTCCCTTCGATATAAGCTTTAAGGAGAGAGAGAGATCAAATGTTCAGAGGCTTGGAAGACAGGGCATTGGAGAAAAGGAAGTTAGATTTAAGAGAAAATGATTGATAGTAAAGAAAATACAAGTCTATGGCTGGGAGTTTTAAGGCAAGGCAGGATGCTCCACGTAGCCTGGACATGCAGAAGTGGCTTTAAAGATGTGCCCCAGCCCACTGCATGATGTGGCCGCCCAGGACCACGTGGCATTCCTGGAGCAGTGTGTATGCACCCCTCCTCTCCCGAGATACCTGCTCTGCTTCTCCTCCCCTTGAAGTAGGGAACCGTTTAAATCAAATAAGGTCCATTCAATAAACATGTTTATCAGAGGCCCCCTAGATACTTGCTGGGAGCCAAATGTGAATCAGCCACAGGGTAAGAAAAAGACCCACCAGTTGCTCATTGCACCAGAATACAATGAGTGACTGAATGGGATTTCAAGGCTTGTTCTTTGAAGAGCACAAGTAATGGCTGCTTGATCTGAGAATTCAGAAATATTTTGCTACTACATAGCTGCGTATAACTGCCATCTATTGGGAGGAGGAGTCACCCCATTGAGTCCATCTTCTTACAAAATTAAGAAGGGACATGAGTTTTATCTATGCTGATTCACAATCTCCCTGCACTGTGCCTTTACTTTTGCACTATAATAATGTATCACCAGGAAGCTAAGCAGCATCACCTCTCCGAGTTCATTACTTTTGGTAGAATCGCAGGTCCTTAAAAGTAGAATACCCTGGAGACTGACTACCCTAACCTTCACACGCACAGAAAATCCTTCCCCAGAGTCCTGACAACATCCACACAAACAGGAAGTAGAGTCTCATCTGCTTCCTTTGTTTGCACTAAAGGGATCTACTTTAATACAAACACTTCAGCACAGTGTATTCTGGGAAGTGAGAATCCACAGGGTGCATTGCTGGGGTACAAAGATGTTTCTAGAAGCTCTGGAAAGCTCCCATGCCACTTCTATATAGGACATCCTCATAAAGCAGATGTTTCCTAGTTTTAATTTTTGTAAACTCTCAGATGGATTAGGCTAAACATCTCCAAGCTTTATTCATAATTGCTGCAGTAGGTAATTTGTGCCCGTGGTAACAGCAATTTAGAGTTATTAATGAAAATGAAAGCTAATTAAAAAAAACAAACATCTAAACGCAAGCTGAGGTAAAAATACAGAGTATTCACAGGAGAATCCATTCTAAAAGACAAATATTACTGTGGTTGCAATAAGGAAAAAGAACACTGTCACACACAGCTTCACATTGTACATTCGTTACACATACCTGCAACCCTTCAATGGCCAGTTTGAGGATGGAAGGTGTCAGTTTGGAGGCTTGTTTGAAGGAAAAATTACTCCAGTCTATAATTAAAATGAACCCATTTATCTGAAGCTCTGGATCTTCAATAAGGACTTCCAACGACAGCAGGATGGCACGGAGGATGTCTGTGAAGGAGTTCCTGCAGCCAGAGCAGAAAGGAAGGTCTGTGTGTGAATATCAGCAGGTGATAGCATTTTGCACGTAAAGTGCTGGTCTCCTCACTCCACTGCTCCGTGAGCCCAGCCTACAGGGTCACATCAATGTCCTGCACCCAAAGTGACCGAAAATACATTTGCTTCACAGGAACCATGTTTCCAGACTCACAGCATGGAGGCCTCCCTTTGATCTGACTGTACCAGCACCCCAAACTTGACGAGGTGTTTCTCTTTCGGGTCCCCATGGTTCTCTCTATGCTTTGTTTCCACCAGAGCACTGATTATATTTCATTGAAATGCATCCCTTTACTCATCTCTCTCCCTCACAGAACTCTAATCTCTTTTAGGGCCGGGACTGGGCCATAATCATAGTTGTGTCCCAATCCCTAGCTACTCGATGAATCATTGCTGAACAAATGAGGTGCAACCTTAATCAGAGGTACTGATTTTGATTAAATCTCTTATTCCTTTTGCATGTTTAAAATCTTGCTAACACTATGAAAACAACTATGCAATTGATGTTATTTTTTAGCTTCCATTCATGGATAGAGAAAAATAAATCAAGAAGAATAGCTTATTTTCATTGAAGTTTTACAGAGTGTAATTTGAGAAGGAAATTGCTTTGAGTACATCAGTAACTATGACAACAGGCAGACCTGAATACAAACTAGAGTGACAGTTCTCCAGTGTTGCATGTGTTCCTCCACGTCATATATTCCCACTCACCAGCTGATTATTGTTTTAAGTAATTTTCAGACATGAGGAAGTGGTGGCATATTCGCTCTCCCACTCCCAACAAATTATCAGAGCTGTAAATTTAAGATCTTAGATAGAGGATCTCTAAATTCAGTGTCTTTTTTTGGTAAGTAGGAAACTATAATCTTGGATAGCAAGTGATGGCAAAATCTGTTACTTCCTTCAGGCTATCATTAAAATCAGAAACCACGTCCTCATGTGAAATGATCAGATTCTTGAGCATTTCAATCTGGTTCAAATTCTACCCAAGTCTAATGGTTCCAGATTACAAATTGGGAAATTTGAGATCAAACAGTAAACTAGTAAGAATTTACTGAATTCCTATTATAACCCTAGCATTGTATTTCATACTTGAAATTATAAAATAGTAGGGTGTATTTCCACTTTCAAAGAGCCCTTAATTTAGTTGGGATGGGGCATGAGATCACCGAGAGGAGTTGAAAGGGATCGATAAAATTTGGGAAGTCAGTTTACAGAGGGATGAAGGCTTGGGATAAGCTTGAAGGATGGGTAAGATTCTAATAAATTATTGGGAGATGGAGAAGCAAGATACTTTTGGAGAAGGGACTGACACAAGTGAAAAATAAAGATATTAGCTCATTCTGTTTCTGTATAGGTCTTTTTACTAAAAATTTATTCCTTATATCAAACTAAAATTTTCCATCCCCCAAATCCATCCATTGGGTGTAGTTTTGTACAAAGAAACAACTTCAGGTCTTCCCACAGCACACACTTTCAATTATCTAAACATGGTGGTCATGACACCCTATTAATCTCTAGGTTAAACAAAATATTAGTAACTTTAACCTTTTTATAAGTAATGGTTTTAAATATTCTTCCAGTCATTATTTTTTCTTTCAAATATAATTTCTTTTAAGTTTTGGTATGTTGAATTTCTATTCATGTTGGACAAGTTTTCATTAGGGCTTTGTTTGGTTTTTATTTCTGCATTCACATAAAACATGATCTAAAGACCCAAGTATTTTTGTTTTATTTTCAGAGATACAGCTTTGTATTAGAAAGGAACATTGATTTAGGTGGAGCATGGGGCCAAAGATCATGGGTTGAAGCAATTCCAAATGGAAATATGGAAATGCCCAGTGGTAAATAAGAAATGACCATTAGGGAATCAGAGTTTCATCCTGGATAAGCTTTCTTAGGAAGAGCAGAGCACACACATGGAGAAAGCCAGGACTGAAAGGCTAATCCTTAGGTAAAGCTGACATACAGCACTGAGGTTGATGGGAGAAGGACTGAGGAAATGAAAAATGAAAGGATCAAGATAGTACTGGGTTTGGGGAGGGGGGCAGTGTTTCAAGAAATAAGGATATGATAAATTGCATTACTGCATTACTGACCACAATTCTTCGCTTAATCTGAGCATCCACCACTAGCTATGAGTTGACCTCATTGACAATAGAGTGTATTTCCTGCCCGAACACCAAGTGACTTGATTCAACTGATGGCATGTGACAGAAATGACAGTGTGCCAAATCCAAGTCTAGCTCTTAAAGACCTCAGATGTTGCTACTATAGTTGTTCTCTTGTCTTCTGTCAGTGCCATGGTAGAAACATGCTACAGTTAACATGCTGAACTGGAGAGATGAATGAGAAACATCCAGACCAGTGACTTCCCAGACAACTAGTAAATCTTCATAAGAAAAAGAACCACCAGCAGAACCCAGACTAGATAAACTCCAGCTGCCTCATAGATGTGTGAGCAATAATAAGTTCTTGCTTTTTTAAGTCACTGAGTTTGGGGATGGTTTGTTACACAACAACTATCCAATACCAGAGGTAGTTAACCAAGTCAAATGCAACATAAAGATTAAGGAGAATAAGGAGAGGGGAAGGACGATTGTATTTGACAACAAGGAGATCTCTGGAGAATTTTGAGACAGCACTCTTAGATGAATGGTGAAGATAGAAATCATTGATTACAAAGATTTTTAGCAAATCACTTAATTACGTTCTCATTTCCCCCCTATATAAATGAGAGATAGCACCTCTTCCCACCACATATCTTCTTGCATCCACTCCCAAGAAAAGGCACTAAATTCTTCCTGGAAATCTGGAAACGATTTTATTCACTTTAAGACCAAAACCTTATGTAGGATATGCATTGACACTGAATGAAGTATTATAATCATGGGATGATCCCAGGAGGAAAGTAAAAGGATTCTGGACTTCATTATAGTTTCCAAATGTTCAAATGCTTCACTTTTTCAGAGGAACTGGATGGGCAGAAAAAAACGTGAGTGGAATGTGTCTCAAGTCATGAGTCTTTCCTTCTGTTGAGGAGAGTGACCCCTCCACATACTGCAGCTGTGACCATTTTCTTAAATTCCTCACTTCCTGGCTTCCTCATATGGACTTCTTCATCATTTTCCTCTTTCCGATTTTGACATCTTTGACTTGTGAAACCATCCCAGCTTTTTACAGTTTAAAAAACCTACCAGGCTATATATTTTACGTAGTTACTCCACCCTCAAGCAGGTGGAGCATAGTTCCCCACTCTTTAAGTGTGGGCTGAGCATCACGACTTCCTTCCAAAGAGGACAGGTCAGAAAGGAGGAAGAAAGAGTCCCTTTACAGTGCAGAGAACTGACAACACTTCCTCAAGCAGCTGATTAAGATCAACATCAACAGGAATAAATCATGTTGCTAGCAGCTACCCTTGATATGGTGATGAAAATGGTACTTTACCTCTCTGATCTCTCTCCCCAAAAAAACATAACCCCAGATTAATCAAGAAGAAGCATTAGACAAATTCCAATCAAGGAACATTCTACAAAATGCCTGACCAGTATTAGAAATCTGAATAAGGTATGGATTTTATTGAATAATAACATCTCAATATTAGTTCATTGATTGTAATAGAGGTACTACATTAATGCAAGAAATAATGGTGTGAACAGGAGGTAGAGTATAGAGAAACCCTCTGTGCTAGCTTGACAATAATTCTGTAAATCTAAAATTGTTCTAACTAAAAAGCTTATTTTTTTCAGAAAAGTGCTTACTAGAGCTTGAAGTCTGGCATGATAAGTTTCCATGAATTTTTTAACAAGGTTTCTAAGCAAACCAAAATAGTCATAAACAATTTAGCAACTTCACACAATTTGTAAAAATGAGAACAGAAGATATTTCCAGAATTTCTTCATTCTACCAACTCATTTAGACTTATACATTGTCTAACTCTAATAACTCAGAGAGGAAAAAAGCTGTTTTCTGTATTGCCCACAATCACAATTCTATCAGTGTAGTTTAGCACTTGTATCAAAATGAAATAACAGATGACAAATGGATATTTACATTTCTTCAATCCTTTCCTACATTTGCATAGTAATTATACACTCAGTTCTGGATTATCTTCATTTTAGATTGCCAATTAAAAGCTCAAATGTGATAATGTATGTGAAACCACTATATAAACTGAAAATTACTAGTGAAATACAAAAACCTATGTTACCAGAAAGTAGAAAACTTCAACTTTTCCCCCCAAATGTTAATTTTATATTCATTAGATTTTACTAATGGTTTATCTACAAGAGGTTCATCATTATATTGTGAGAAATTAGAGATTATGAGTAATGACTTATTTGTAGGTTCTAATGTTGTTTTTATATGAGTTGAGCACCCAACATCACTACCTGAGACTTTAAAATCTATTGGGTCTTTGGAAAAGTCATGACGTATTTTGTCTATGTTTTTCAAAGGTCATTTATTTAGATAAAGAACAAAGACCAATCAATAATATATTGCCCATTTTCTTCAGTAACCTTTTGCCATCTTTCAGTGAGCTTCATAATTCCTCGTTCATGGAAGGACCTGTCCTTATTTGCGAAAAACTGAACAAGGTGCTGATTTACAGCCTCATCTGCATTGAACTTTATACCTCACAAGAAGTTTTGAAGAGAGCAAAATAAGTGGAAGTCTGACGGCGCAAAGTCAGGTGAGTATGGTGGGTGTGGCAACACATCCCATCCAAGCTCCAATCATTTTTGACGGGTGATCAAACTTGTGTGTGGTCTAGCGTTGTCGAGAGGGAACACAACTCCTTTACAATTAACAAGCTCTGAACATTTCTGGATGATGGATTTGTTCAAACTGTCCAACTGCTGACAGTACACATTCGAATGGATTGTTTGGTTCCTTGTTAGGAGCTCAAAAACACATCACCACACTGAGAGCATAACCTTCCTCTGATGAATGTCTGCTTTCAATGTTG